TTATATGCTATTAAAATATGGATTATTAGCTAAAATTTATGCTATACTAATTGCTATAACATAAATAAAAAGTAGTTTAATAAAATTCTGAATGTATGTCCCTAAAACCTCGTGACATGCACAGTAAATAATGCCCAGGCAGACATGGATAAGCCAAATGAAATATAATTTTGAAGTGCATACTTTTCCTTGAGATGTTTTCAAGATACTAACCTTGTTCGGGGAAACAGTCATTAGGAGTCCCTAATGAAGCATCTCCTCTGTATCCACTGGCACACCTCTCACAGAAGTCACCCTCAGTGGAGTGTTGGCAGTTCTATATAATAGAAATTACTAAAATGAAAAAATGTATGAAGACTGATGAAGGTTACCTTCATTCATTAAATAAAATTTATATTTAATATTGATATTTCTGTATAACAAATAGACAATTATACACTTTAACACCCTGAAGAGATCAAAAGGCATTTTTTACAGAAAACAAAAGCTTGAGGAAAGTATGTATTTACAACTAATTTTCTTCTGCAAACAAGGCTGAATATTTTATTTTCTGAACTTCACTCACTATATAAAACAAAATATGTTTAAGTCTATAACAAGAGCTAGATTCCAACATTCAAAAAACTAATTTACTGAAAATCTGCAAAATATAATCCTCAAAAACCTAAAAATCAAAACCTAAATCTATATACATATGTGTGTGTGTGTGACAGTAAAAAACAAAATTTCAGTGTATTTGAACAATAGTGAGGCAATAGAAAATTGTTAATTTAAGAAGGGGAATACAGACTATCAATAAAGTACAGAAGCAAGTGGAATCAAAATACAAAGATTACATTTTCAAGCATACAACTGGGGATTATAAAAATAATAACAACAACAACAAATAGACTCAAAATAGGGCCTACAATATTTTATCAAATCTCTATTTTGACTTCACTAAAATTGATAATTTGTATATTTTATTTGAACACTTGAAAATATAAACTTTGCATTTTCATTCAATTTGTTTCTGTACATTTTCTTATAATTCCCATTTCCCCTTTTTAAATTAATAATTTTTAATTATCTTGTTACTGTTTTTTTTGTATGTCCATTTATGGAGAATAAATTTTAAGCTACATATGTGCATATGCATTCAGTTGAATGTTACATGTTCTTCAACAGTTTACTGCTGCATTTTTTTTTTCACCCAACCATTATTTACTGACCCACCTTGTTGGGTTTAAGAGTTACACAGGCCTGTGATGGTTTTATTGTCTTGTTCTTTACTAATTTCTGTACACTGAATCCGAAAATGATATCCATTTTTCTCCATCATATACAGATTTTTTACAAAACATCATATGTACTTTTACATAAGCAAATAATTTTCACTGAAATCGGATCACATTTTATTATGCTTAAAATGTTGATAACCACTGGCTATAGATTTCTCTAGACCAATCGTGACGTGAGAGTCTTATCAATTGTTCTAGAACCCACTGCTAGTATATAAACAGTTAACAGGCCACATGACGTGCTATGTCTGGATAGTTTTTGTTAGCGTGTGCACTTTGACATTATTTTTTCTTTTCAATATTATTTATTCATTGCTATGGCAACAAATGACCCAAAAATATTCTGTTATATTTGTGGTAAATTTATTGTAAAGAAAAACATTACAGAATTTATCAACAAAAGCATATTACACATATTTTGGAACAAAAATAAGGCTAACTTTCACCAATAATGCTCCTACTGGCAATCAGAAGATATGATATGCTTTATCCCATCACTTACAGTAAAAATAAAACAAAACACGTGTCTTTAAATTTATTTCCTGAGGAGAGTAGAAATTGTAACTATGATCAAGAATCTTCCAACATGTCAGTGTATTTCCTTTTGCTCATTTTTTTTTTTTGGTCTGTGTGCATGCATGTGGGTCATGACCCTTGGACTCATATAAATGTACTATTCTCTCTCTTCAATTGTCTTTAAATTATATCTATTTGATCAAGTAATCTCCTTTAATTATCTTAGAAAAGTCTCTTATCACCAACAAGGTTTAAGTAGTTCATTTAATATAAAAACATGTCACATGACTGCAGATTTTATATATTCTTTATTAACTTTTCAAAATAAACTGGAGTTTAACCAGACAAGTCTTAGCTAAACAAGTTATACCTTAGTACTATCAAATTTGTTTTTTTGAGTATCATAGCAAGCATAAAAAAATAGTTTCAGGAAAAAATGTGCCTACACCAATTCACGTTTATGATGTAATATAATATTAATATATGATGTAATATATTCTGACAATATGATATAGCCATGTTTATGATGTAATATAGTCCAAAATGTCTGACATTTGGAAAAACAAACTTGAATGAAAAATGTCCTTTGGAATAGCATTTTAATTTTGGTTCTATTTTCAAAAACTCTCATGATATGGCATTCCAGGCCTATAAATCACCTTCTCTTTGACAGCTAATGGACCCAATCAAAACCATTGGTTTACTAGTGATGAAATAGTTTTAATTAGATATGAATAAAATTATTTCATACACATAAACATCAATAAGTACAACTACTGGAAACCATCATCTGTTCCCTACAGAACAAAGAAAAAAATATTGTGCATGGTTTTATCAATATATTGGTTAGCACTCTAGCACTATGCATACAGTGGGACTTTAACTTGGTGCAATGCTTAGGCAACCAATGAGTAGACAAAATGATGTCAGAAAGCATAGATTTTGTGCAATAAACTAAAATAAAATTATAAATATTACAATATAAAATATTTGGCATTTTATTGATGCCATGGTATGGACATACCATGAATTTTCTACCCTCTTATTTTCATGTAGAATTTGTCAAAAATTTTTCATTTATTCTAGGTACGTGTGGTTTTCATATAACACTTGGTCAAGAAAGTTATTAAGTAGATTACATTCTAACTACCTTTATTCTTTGTAATTTCCTACCTGATCAAGTAATTACTTCAGTAAAAGGGACCATCCGTCATCCATAACATGGATAAACACTGTTGATTTCTGTTTTGTTATAATAAATATTGTTCTTCATTGTGTATCACACTTTGTGTTCAGTTCATTTACTTCTTAAGTTAGTTTTAGTGGAACTCAATATTATTTCCCAATTTATCTTGCCAAATCTCCTGTGATATAGTGGTCCACTAATTTACCCCTTAAAAGAAATTGGTTTACCTGGAAATACCACAATGTACATATGACATGTAATCCATTGGATAGAAGAATAAACATTAAAACAGCATTAACAAGAAAGCTGGTTGATAAACGGACACATTTCCTAAACATCCTTGAATTTTAAACAGCAAAAACAATGAGATTTTCTAGTGAGATGAGTTGTTTTAGCTGTTTAAAAATTCACACTTGTTTACAATATGCTTTATGAAAACAAAATGACAAATAAATAACATTATCCTAAATAGTATTTATTATGTACTTTATTCTATGTAAAATATGTGGTCTTACCCTACACACTCCAGTCTCAGGATCACAGTCACTTGAATGGCCATTACAAAAGCATGGTTCACACAGTCCTAGATAAAGACCAGCACCAGATCTGGTGTATCCTGGAGAACAATCTTGACAAGAAAGTCCTCGATACCCAACAGGACAATGGCACTGCTCTACACTAAAAGCCTGAGATTGACCGGTTGGATTTTCAACTCCTATGTCCATTGTAACTTCTACCAGACTGGAAAAAGTATTGAACTGTTACTAACCACAAGGTAAATAATAAAATGTTGAAAATTACTCACATATCAAAAACATTAGATATTATCAAACCCAATAAGATGTTATGTAAAAATTTTAAACTTTTTAGGTTATATAAAACAAGAATAATGAATATTTTTAAAGCAAATTATATTATTTACAAATTAAATTCTAAAGAAGCTAAAGATATTACAATGTGTTGGCTTTGTTGAATTTCAACAAATGTTGTTGTTGGGGGGGGGGGGGTGATTATAAAGTTTGACAACGTATTTTGATCCCATGACTCACAAATTGAGAGTTGAGTGCTCTAATTAACAAGCCATTACAATGCAACTATGTAATGTTTCTTTTTGGTCTAACTAAAGTAGTATATGACACATTGTGATTTTCTTGTACAAGATTATATGTGAACAAGATATCACTTGGTCTTTCAAGGCTCTCCTTACACACTTGCCCTTAAAAAAAAATCAAGATTTAAACTAACTCTTTTTTTTCAATATATCAATACTTCTCTTCTTAAACTATTTTAATGTGCCAGCCTTCACTACTGCTGACAACTAATTCTATGAGCCAATCACCTGTTAAGGAGCTAAAACTGTCTCAAATGTAGCCTAGCCTGTCTTTTCCAAATCTCATGTTTGTATCTTCTCATCCTATTTTCTTCAGAATACAGCAAAAATGAATCAAAGATCTTTATCCTATCAATTTCCTGGATAATCTCAAAATTTAATAAAATAACCTCTTACCTTTTCTGTCAAGAGAAAATAAGCTGAGCAATTTTAACTTACTCCTATAAAGATAAATCTTTCATCCCCAGATTCATCCCTCTGAACCCTTAACAAAAGATATATCTTTTCTTGGGTAAGGAAATTGTTTGAGCTCAATTAGACAGATAAATAAATGAGTGACCAAACGTTACAGTATACATACTGTCCAAGTTCAAACACATTAACCATGTGTTTAACAGCTTTGCTATCAGAGCAGACATATGATAAAAGATATTTTTTGTTAAATTACTGTATAAATCAACACATTCTGGTATGTAAGCCAATAATGATGCCTACAAAATAGTGAAGATTCACTGAGAGGGTCTAAGAGATAGTGAGATAAATAATTTTAATTTTTCGTGTCAAAGTAAGAAATGATAAATAACATATCACACACAAAGTAAATGACATATGTGTTGTGGTGTGAACACCTTCTACAAGCTGGCAAAGAAACAATTATATTTAATTATACACATTGCTATTAGGCCTATTATATTTTTAACACTATTTTTTCAAGAAGTAATGTATAATAGTATGTTAGCCACACTAATTCCATCATATAAATGATGCATTTCATTCAATACAAAGCTCATGTCTGCTAACAAACAACAAACACAGTTGTGGCTGATGCACTACATATATGAGCTATTTGTTACAACAACAATTTTTACGGTGTGAATGCCTTTTTTTAAGTGTATTGAGCAAGACACCTCATCAGCAATGAATATGGTGGTCAGAGTATGGTTGAAAAACTATTACACACTTCTTGGAAAATCTTAACTAACTAGATAAAGAAGGTAGTGTTAAAGTTTTTGTAGACCTAATTCTGATATAATTAACTAAATGACATACTGTTGTTCTTTTAGGGAAACCTTTACCAAAAATCAGAATTTTGATTAATATGAAAATATTTATAGAAGACATACTGCATTTATTCAAATGTATAAATGTTAAAATACACATTTTTTAAACAATTTTTTTAGATCAACAGAAATGAAACATTAGTGAAGGATATGTTTTGTTTCAAACAAACAAGGAAAACAATCATGTATTATGAAGTTGTAAGCTAAGCATGTAAAATACAGTTGTTCAAAAATATTCCTACAAAGTGTTAAAAAGCAAAAGGTACATCTCATTGTGTATCAGCTTAATCTTACCTTACTGATGTAGTTTGAGTTGAATATGTTGCCTTAATCAAAATCCTGTTTAAGTCTGCTAAGGCCATCAGCAGATACTCCCTGTTTGCAGGCTGACCATCCGGCCGAACCCACAAAGTCTATGGTGCACAAATATAATTTCTTATAAATTCTCTTTGTGTTTTTACATACAAAAAAAAAAAAGAAATGCAAGTTACAAGACCTTATAGTTGAGAGGTTATGATAAATGTAATATACCACACACACTTCTCATAGTTGTAAATGTATACATATAAAATTTAGCTATCGTTGCAGTAGCATGTGCTAAAAAAAAATGTATATCAAAAATATATTCAATGGAAAATCCTTCATAACAATATATAAGGCCTAATCCATGTTTAATATCAAACAACAGTAACTTAATCTATCATCATTTACATGAACTTTCAGAATCGTGTGTGATGCTCAAATGAAGCTCTTTTTTAATCTTGTACATTGAGCCAAAACAACTGTTCCTATTGCCACATTCATCAGCATTAGTTGCACATATACTCAGGTGCTTTAGCATTACGTCTTGTGAATCACATGTAAACTAATAACAAGCATCAAGTGTAATAAATTAGCTTTGTATCACATATACTCAGGTGCATTAGCGTTATGTCTTGTGAATCACATATAAACTAATAACATAAGCATCAAACACTTGACCAATTTTAAGAAAATTATTTTTATAAATTAATTTCTTATGCAAGTTCTTCAACAAACACGAATGTAGAATTCTCCTTTAAATCCTCTTGTTTACAGTCTTCACACTCAACCTTCAGCATTGTTTGACTTTAATAATGACTAGCACTGTTTAATCTGTTTAGTCTACACATTGTATTCAAAAACTGTTAAAATTCAACAAGTTTTACTTTGCTTGTCCATGGTTTGTAACATACTAATATCAGAATAATCGTAAGAGAGAAATGCTACAGAAACTCTTAGACTTCCCATACTGTACAATAGCTTCTGGTGATAATTCTAGACTCACATTTAACTGACTTTGTTCCATTAAAACTGTTCAGATTTGAGACATAGTATTTTTCTGTATCTATCAAGTTCTTTATTGGTCACATTTTATATTTTATCTGTTATTTTATCTTCCCTAATTCGGATAATTTGACCAAACCACCATTAAGAAAAGAAATAAATCTAAATTACTCGTTTTTTGCTTTCTAGATTTACTGCAAATTGTAATATGAAATTACAAAAATAAATACACCTTAAAGATCATAATAGTATACATTTGTTTCTACTTAATTTGAACCCTGTCTAATTAATAATCCTGCCATACAAGTTGTAAATCACTTGGCAGATGTGTAGCTCAAGTTACCATATTAAATGACAAAGTATGAGCAACTTGCAAGTATAACTTGTTGATAATAATTATTATTTTTCATTATCTTACTTTATCTAACCTAATAGTATCTAATTTTTAAATTTTAGTTACTTTTATAACAATAAATAAAAATATACATGAAAAACAAGAAATATAGTACTTATTTTTTACTGTTATTGCCAGTGAATTTAAGCCTACTTATTTTTTTGCACTGATTGTCTTAGTACATTAAATAATTTTTATTTATTTAATGAATGCACTAAAAAACAGAATATAATAAAACATAGAAAACAAACAAAGTACTATAACTATTATAATTTAACGTTGCTTTCTAACTAAGGCATAACAGCCATAAAGTAATTCCATTAGCTACTTAATCTGAACATCTCAAGAGAAACTTTCAAACTGAAGATGAATTAGACAACACTCTGTATTGAAAACAACATAACATTATACAACATTTGATAGATTATAACTTTTTTGTACTGGTTATAAATGATATAAAATAAAACATAAGAGAGAATTATTGGTAACAGTGACAAAAAGGACTTGACAGGTGGGTGTGTCAAGTCGATCTGATTTTCTAGTTTATGTCTCTGTAAACAAAAAAGATTGAAGACTATAAAGATTAGACTTTGCCTTAGTAATATCTGTATTATAATGAGTAATTTATGTTAAACTTCAATACTTCAGACAGTGGTGGTAAATAAGTTAGTGAATGGGCAAGAACTAGAAAACACATGTCACAATTCTCATAAAAGGAGAGATTGAGGATTTATTTAAATATTTCCTTTTAAAAATTAGGATATTAAAACTTGTATAATAAATTTTGATTTAACACTACATTTTGATGGCAAGTTTATTTGTATATATTGATAATAAAGTAGTTTAATTACATTTTGAATGTAACTCTGTAAAATGTCGTGACATTTAACCTACCCATAGCAAGAGAACTAAGAATATCTAAAAGGAAGCAGATAAAGTTTGGAGCACCCAGGCAAATTTACGTGTCAAGAAATATCTGTAAGGCTAACTAAATTACATACAATGTACTAAAACTGGTATGAAAAGTAATAAACTGCATAGTAAAATTAGAAAATAAATGCAAACCCAGTTGTAGTTGAACAAACTGTGAAACAAACAGTTAACAAACACCAGAAAACAATGCATATCAGACAGGCTGTTTCTGATAACATAATCTCATGGATGCACAAAAATCCCACTACAATGCAAGAGGTTACAAGCTTAGATTGGTTTGTATCTAAAAATATTTGTTGAAAAAACTAAGAAATTTAGAGCCAAAAATATTTTATGTGTAAAGAAAATTGTATAAATCATCCATTTTTGTGCTTGAAAGAATCATGTTTTAACTTGTTTGAACTCGGTTTAACTATGAAAAGAGCACGGCAGTTAAACAAAATATCCAAAAATACTGATAATTACAGCTTGTAAGTTAATAAACTTAATAGAGAGAGAAAACTACTTACTTCATACATTGGCACTGATACTGTTTGGTGTAACCCTGCTTTCACTCTTTCAGAATGGCGGTAAAAGAGAATAATATCATTTCCCTACAAAAGATAATCAAATATTGTTAAACAGAATAATTATTAACTACAATAAATAATCAAGTACTGTTAAACAGTATAATATCATTTCCCTACAAAAGATAATCAAATATTGTTAAACAGAATAATTATCAACTACAATAAATAATAAAGTACTGTTAAACAGTATAATATCATTTCCCTACAAAAGATAATCAAATATTGTTAAACAGAATAATTATTAACTACAATAAATAATCAAATATTGTTAAACAGAATAATTATTAACTACAATAAATAATCAAATATTGTTAAACAGAATAATTATTAACTACAATAAATAATCAAGTACTGTTGAACAGTATAATATCATCTCTCTATGACAAATAATCAAATACTGTTAAACAGGATATTTCCCTACGATAAATAATCAAATATTGTAAAACAGAATAATATTTTCCTACAGCAAATACTGTTTAACTGAGAGATTGAATTACATTAATATTTTCAAATCATGCATTTTGATTTTAATAAATAACCTTTGTACAAATGCAATTCTCAAATTTGCATATCAAAGAATAATATCACAAGAAATTTCATTTAAGTTAAGAAATGATGAGTGTTGAATAAAGCTTTGTGAGGATCATAAAAGTAATAAATAAAGTTTCATAAAGTCATGTTCAGAGATCAATGAAAGTCATCATTAATAAAGCTTCTTGAATTATGCATCTGGTCAAGAAAGCTTCATGAAAATCCAGTAAGCAAGCAAATAGAGCTTCAAGATATGAACTGCTTGAATTTTTTTTCCAAAATGAAGTTGATTATTTAAGAAAAATAGGTCATAATACTCAAATACACAGTTTTTTTGATACTATAGTTTCATTTAAAGACACAAAAATGATCTACTTACAAATAAAGCCACATCAGGGTCTGTATTGGGGGTATTTAATCCACCAGGCTCATATTTTATGGTGTAATTTATGTGGCCACCATATGAAGTAACCTGTAATAAATTAAGTGTTTTTAAATTGAAAATCTAAATTTCCAAATTTTTTCTACCATTGATATTTACTTGTAATTCTACAGAGAGTAAATAAAAACATTTTACAGATAAAAAATGATATTTACCTTAAATATTAAAACTGAATGTTTTGACACAACATTAGAAATTATTAGAATGTTTAAATGTATACAGTTTATAATGCAAAGCCCTTATAAAAGTTTGAGATTGTAAGCATACATTGTGCATGCAATTTTTGAATTTTTAGAATAGAAAAGAAGTTTTAGAACGAATACATATTTCGAGGGTTCCAACAATGAAAAACTCCAGCTAAATCTATAAATAATCACTAAAACTCCAGCCAGCAAAATTATAATGTCTCACTCCAACTGCACATCTGCAAAACAAACTATAATCCTCAGATATATCTAGCTGAAAGCTTCAATTAACTATTTACTCCTGTTATTACTATTTGATGTTTTATATTTTACATCAATTTTTTTATACTACTGCTAGCTTCAACTAAGTGAGAGTTTAACAAGCGATTTTAAATATTTTACTATTTCAGTATGAGTGATATGTTGTGACTAATGACTGCATACAGTATTTGAAGGAGTCAGAAGTGACAATCATTTGATAATTTTGAGATAGTGTTTAATGAACTTTTTAAACTTCTTTTTCAATTAAAGAAGTGAAACAACAACATATGCTTATAATTTACTTATTACAAAGTACATTACTTTAAATGATATTTCAAAGAAATCAAGGGGAATTTATCATGATATACAGTACTAATGCTACTCAGTGTTGAAAATGACCTCCATGATATTCCAAAAAACCTGATAACTTTATAATTTTATTGATAAATATAAAGTCAATTAAAATCAGACACAGCATTGAAGATGAACAATTTCATAATTAATACTGATACAAGCCAGTTAGATTTCAATCTTCAGTTTAAGGTTTATTCTAAGCAACTGTAATAACAATTTTGCAAAACTAGCGTGTATCTCAAAAACAAAAATTATTAGAACTTTAGTAGATTTGATGGTGTAACTTCAATAAAAATGTGAAGGTATTAAGAGGCAGATCCAGGATTTTTAAAAAGGGATTCAGGTTACTAAAATCAAATCATGGAAAAGGTTCTAAAGGTACTTTCGAATAATGAATGAGTCAATGAACCAAATACATTCATGACTATACAGGGCATTTTAGGCACAGTTTCACATATACTTTTAAATAATATGTCATAAGAAATGAAGTTTCTAAACTGACATTCACTGCTTATGGTTGTATTTCACAGGGCTTAACATTCACTCTGTTAGGGATTGTTGCAACTAACCAAGAAACTGATTTCAATACCACTGTAGGTCACATGGTTGTGTCCATTTAATATAAACCAACAGCCAAACTAAGAAACTGATTTCAATACCACTGTACACCATGTGGTCTCCACATAAATCACTAGCTAAATAAAGCACAAAATTTACTCCATGAATAGAAACTGAATAAATTACATATTATAGTACATGTACCCCTAAGCAATGTTTTTTGTAAACTAATGTGTATTGTTATTATTAAAGATACAAATCTGATAGTGTTAGGGTTTTAAGTATGTAGGTTGGGATTGGATTCTTATACAGTAGGTGGTGTCTGACTTGTTGGCAATAAATTCAAACAATAAATGGACAGCACACGCTCCACTTGTTTTAAAATAAAATATTCAAAACAAGTCAAACTATGTACAAAAATTGTTTACACTATAGGTTATCACAACTGTATCTAAAACTCAAAATAATTCTCTATTCTTGTCAAAAGTCTGGATTTTTTCTTCACTTAATTTGCATTTGTTTGGTTGCCTATATTTATACGTTGCCTAATTGAGGCCTCAAACTTTCTCTAAACTACACGAGTGGCACTGTAAGGTAACAATACTCATTCAGTACCAAAGATTTGAGTAACGTGGCATAAACAATATTAGAAAAGCCTAGACAACAATGCAATTGCAAATACAATGTACAATTTATACAGAGTTATGTAATGAGATTTGTCACAACTAACACTTTTAAAACAATCCATTTTCAACACTCCTGTCTTAAAAACTAAACAATCATTAAATATTAAGTCACAAAATAAACTAAATAATAACACTTACACTAACAGTCTTGTATATACAACAGTTAGTAAATCCATAAATCCCTCATTACTGTTATAAAACCAGCTGATCTACTAAAGTGGCAACATAAAACTGAACTGTTATAATACCAAAAGGACTTTTACAATTGGAATCCCATTCTTTAAATCCCTATTTTAATGTTTGATGGATAATAAATTGATTTATAAAAACCTTTTTTTGTGATTAATGTATTTTGTTTGTGACTATGAAAAATAAGTTTAAAATATTTAACTTTGTGTACAATCTGTGAAAAAGAGAAGCTCCAAACACTGACATGTACAGAGGAGTTAAAATAAAACTAGTGTATGTGTGATATGCAACTACAATATTTTTTATAAAGCATCATTAATTTATCCATCTTTTAATTATATTTACATTCCTTCTTGGATATGGTGTATTACTACATCATTTTTAAGCAATCCATTGGGCTGTAATACGATAAGAAAAAAAATGGTCTAAAGAAGAAAAATATCTCAGAAACTTAACATATCCCGGGGTTTTATAATTCTACAACTTGGTTGTCTTGTGATGACAATTCTTCTTATTACACAGTTGTTGTTACACATCCTCCTATGTGGGGTTATGTATGGTTATTTGTTTTCTAGAAAAGTTACAATACTTAAATACTATATTATTGTTATTATTAATCTTTAATACAGTTAGACCTAACCCAGTAATGTTTATAATTCTTCAGTATTTCAAAATATATGATCTGGTACCAATCAGGTTAAAGTGAGACAGATAAATTGATACAAGCACATCAATAACTATGCTGCAGCTACATTTATTTTTGGAAGCATTGTTTACCTTGTCACCTAGAAATTTGGATGGCAATTTCCAGTACAGAGTTTGTCCTTGTAGATTATCATCAGTCTGATAAACAAGCTCCCTGTTTTGTCTGTCTACATAGAAATTGTTGAAGATCACATCTTCTTCCAATTTGGTCAATTCTACATCTTCTGGAGTATTCGTGAAGCTCACAGTTTCCTGAAAACGCAAAGAATAAGAAAACACTTCCACCTATAACTTCATACATTACTAACTAATAATACACCTAACACTTACTAGGTAAATTCTTTATAATACATCAACACATAACACTTCATAGGTTACCTGTTATTAGAAATAAATAGTTCTAAAAAAACTATTACCTTGCCAATAAAAAATCTTCAGATATAAAAGGTTTACAATTATTTCTCCCAAACAATGTTCAGTGGATAATAAATATCAGAAAAAACTATCACAAAGGTAATTTTAAGTTTATGATAATCAAAACTGAACATGAAAATTACATTTTAGAGTAGTTAGGAACACACTTTATGTGTTTTCTTTTATGTGAAAATAAAATACATTTCCTGATGAACTATTTATTGAATATTTTATTTAAGTATGGTTTTCATCTGTAAAAATACCCTTGATTTTGTAATATAACTAAGTGCTAATGCAAGTTATGGTAATTTATTTTATAAATATACTTTCTCGTCTTGAATTTGATATAACACCACTAGCAGCAAGGATACTCAACTGATAAGCTGGTGCAGTTTTCATTCAAGCTTTGTGTAGTTTGCCTATTACTCATAATTAAGACTATTTATTATTAATTGAAATTATTATTGTAGAACTTTATCAGCTCTTTGTTAGAAGTTAAACAATTGTGATAATTTAAAAGTTTTTTTTTTTAGCTGGTATTTAAATCTGAGACTTCTCAAATCTGAGACTAAAGGGTTAAAACAACTAGAACTTCTTAATAAGTAACTTTTTGTGACAACTGAAACTACTACATTCTTCCCCTCTCAGAAAACAAGGCTTAACCTTTAGCCTAATTTCAGTCATCGTTACCCCTTTTAGCTCAGTTGGTGGAGCACACTGTCTTGTTCAAATCCAAAGTGAGGAAAGTTTTACATATAAAACTCCCAGTGTCTGGGAGGTCTTGGGTTGAAATCCAAGATGAGGAAGTATATTTGTATTTCTCTCCCAGACTAATTGGTATCAACACATTTTGTTTGTAGCCCTGACTTTTAAAATATTTAGCATTAACTCTCTAATTAATAGGAAGCTTTTCAATACAGTAGTTTAATACCAGTCTCTAAAATCCTTGAAGTCTCTTAGCAATAGTCCAATTACTGTGAAACAATTTAGCATATTAACTCAATAGCAGTCTTGTTAAATACTGTAAAGCCTTTTAAAACACTATTCTAACAATGGAAGAAGGCCTCAGTATAGAAGCTGAAATGTTGTCTTTTCAATCAACAGGCAGTTGCAGTCTATTAAAATTTTCAAATCTACAATGTCTACTCTACCTAAAGTTACACAGAAACAACATTAAATAAAGTATTTTCACCTACAGGACAATAAAATATTTGAGAAGCACTACTATCCCAAAATATGTTTTGCAACGAGGAGTTTGCTTTTAGTAAATTAATTTTCATTCAACAGCTGGCTTTATTTTAGATTTATTTTAACTATTTTGTTTACGTTTATATGAAACACCTAACAATTTCAAGAAACCTTATTCCTTAAGAAATGTTTCTTAGAAACATGCTAACATACTTGAAATGAAAGATTTACTGCTTGTGGAATATATAATAATAATTTTGTTGTGCTTTTATTGTTTTCCATAAGGGGTGGAGAGACAGAATCTTTTCAGCAATATAAGAAACCTGCAAAACTGTCTATATACACAATTGCATCACTTGTGATTGTCTACCCTAATAACAGCACAAAATAACTTGGTTGTCTAATAAATACAGTTTTCTTGTTTGAATAGCTATAAGAAGTTTTGTAATGTGCACATTGAGAAAAAGATGGAGGTGGATATGTGTTAGTATATTATCATTACTCACTGTATTCAATATTAAGTGATAAATTTGTATAACCAAAAAATTCAAACATTCTTTAGCAGTAACACACTAGAATTATAAAATGACAATTTAACTGATTTAACCTCAATCAAAATATTTATAAACATCAACAAAACACTTATGATATCATACTGTTTTGTAAATAACATAATGACAAGTTTTCAAGTACATAATACTGTAACATTCTCAAAATATGTATTTGATACTAAGCCTTCATACCTGGTCACGGTACCAGTTACAACTACTACAAGACTTTGTTATACCCATACAGAAACAGTCTATACAGCCATCCGGGGATTCAGGGTTTAGGTAAAAAGTATTATCCTTACACTGGTCGCATCGGGCACCAGTTGTGTGACGCTATGAAGATTAGAAAGAAAAAAATTTATGGGCCATTAAACAATATTCTATAACAAAAAATTTTTAACGAATTTTTTATATCCAAATCACAAAATCATAGTCGAGATATTTATAAAATATTTTGTTACAATAATAATGAAAAATACATAAGTTGTTTCTAACCACAATACAAAATCATGGCTGAGAGTTACTTAAAAAGCATTGTTAGAATAATTAAAAACAAAAAATTGTTGTTTGTACACCTTTAATCTTAACGAGTCAATATAAATTAGCAGGTATCAAAATAGTGAAAATAGGTCTGAAGATAGTACAAGTTCACAATGTGCATGTTTTAATTATGTTAAACATGGAGACATTTTTGTGTAACAACATGACAATTTTACTTCAGTATTAAATTTAAACTGATACAAGACAATGCAACTAGCACTTACAGTGGCATTGCTCCATTAGTATGATTAGGTTCATACAAAATCAAGAGCAAAAAATATACATTTTGTATATTTTTATTTTAATATTTAACTGGGAATATATTATAAAATATATATTTAACTAAGCCGTTCTGTTCAGTTCTAAGTCCCATGATAAACGTGGAAGTCGCATTTTAATTACTAGTGATAAATAAGCTATCGTATGTAATAGAATGAATCTAATATTTATTATCATACTTGAATTTATATTTACATTCACATAAATTTGAACTTGTGTCCACTGCATAACAAGGCATAGAACTATCTTACCTTACATTGACATAATCCTGTAGAGGGGCTTCTTACAGTGGATAAACTTCCTATTGGGTTACAGTCACCACCTGGGAGAAAACAAGTACGAAATACTTAGATGCATCTACATGAAAACAAAAGTACAAGTTAAAATTTGAATCCTAAATTTGCAACATAATGTGGCCCACACTGATGATAAATCTGGAGTATGTAACATCTGGAAATATTTTAGAATTTACTAAACATATGCTACAATGATAACTGTGCATTAATGTGATATGCAGGCATATCGCATGCTTTCTACTTGCTTAACCCTAGAACGCCAGCATGGGATCACTATAACCCCATACTACCTTGTGTTAATGACTAAAAATTTAATACTGGCATTCTAAGGTTAACATATAGGAATTTTTTAATTTCTTGTTTATTTAGTTGGTATTCATTTTTAACCTAAACTATCCTGTTACAAAAATAAAACTATCTCAGTTGAAGATGATTCCTACCCTGCCATAATTTTTTATTTCTGTCCCTAGTCCTACCATGCTCACCATTAAGTATGAAACAAGATGATGCATCAACACTATATACTTCCCTTAATCTTAACTCTCTCCATGGGCTTGGTCAATCTGACCAACCATGTGACCTCTTTGTACTCGTTTACTCTTTACTGATTTAATACTTTTAACTTTCAATAGAGTGTGTATATCTTCACAAAATTTGGCAGTCTTTCACATACAAAAAATCATATTTTGTTAGTGAAGTGTTCTTAACAAACTGAAATAAAGATTTTCATGCTAAGATTAAAATACTTTTCTTCATCTAAAAATCTCAAATTTCTTTTGTGTAATCCCTAAAACCTCCTAAATACATTTCAAACGTTATAGCTTATCTGTTATTTTCTTTACCCTATCTCTATACTGGATTGGTCAATTTGACTGACCTCACCCCCCCCAAAAAATCTAAATTTCTCTCTCTCAAAAAAAAATACCCTTTATTTCTTTCTAGAATGACTTCAAATTGTAACATGAAACTACATTGTTTCTACTAAGTAGCTTTAAGCTCGTACAAGTATTCATCTGTTTATAATAAAGTTTCATTGTTTTATTGCCCTTTGAACCATAACTAACCACAATAAGTTGTAAATTACTATGGGAATGTGCAGCTCATGTTACGCTATTGAATTACATCACCCATGAGCTACTACAAACTGTTTGCGTGCATGCCTCGTGAAACATTTTTATTACATTATCATCATCCATTTCACCTAATTTAATCTTAACTAACCTAATAAGATCCAAATTATTACATTTCAATTACTTTTATAATAATAAAGTATAAACATGAAAAACAAGAATTAAAGTATTTACCCAATCTTCTTTTTTCTTCTTGTTGATTATCAATGACACTTAACCATACTTTACATTTATACTAATGGTAGTAATGCACTAAATGATTTTTATTTAATTAAATAATGCACCAAAGAAATAGAGGAAACTGTCTACTTTTTGCATGTTATTAGTTTAACTCTCAAAATGTTTCTGGTTGTAACTATGTGACAAGAACCATTAGAAATTCATCCAAGCTAGTCTTTAGCTTTCCCATGGGAACGAAGCTTGTACTCTGAGTGAAATTGACGATTATCTGCTCAGAACACAACGTTATACAATACGTCTTTTGATAAATGAAAACCGACTTTTTATTGGTTATAGGTTGTCATGATATAAAAGACTGTTTGGTTTAGATATTAGTGATAAATTTATTTTTGTGACTGAATATCTTACTATTATTTAGTTTTTGTTCTAATAAGAGTTAAAAGCAGATGATTGTATGAAGTTTTGTTAATTGATGTTGAGAATATCGAACACCATGTGCAATATATTGATGTCAAGAATATAGAAGGTGGACAGACGATTAGGTAATAAAGATATAAATAGCGTGAGATGAGTGAGAAGCAGCAGACAGATAATAGCAAAAGAGAATAAAGTTGGTGTGAAGCTAACTATCATAGAAGAAACAGGCCTAACATTTAATATGTTACAGTGAAACTAACAGTAGAAAAGAAGATAATAAAAATAATTTTATTCCATCAAAGCGTGGTTCTAAAGTAACTGAATCAGCCTGAGTGAACTTTGACAAAAAGAAAAGAGGATCTTCAAAAGAAAGAAGACCAAATAATTACGGTAACTCGCTCCACAATTGTAAATGAATCACAGAATACTACTGCAATAGAAATAAAGAAGGTAGTTTGGTTTGTCATCTGAAATTCTAAAGTAATTAAATAGGCCTAAGTGGATATTTGAGAAGGAGATAATTACATATACAGTATTTATGATATGTTCATAATATCTATAGTGTTGAAGAATTTATTGTACATATGTTAACTTGTTCTGAATATACATTATTTTGAAAACAAGTGAAGTGCATGCTGTTTATTCATCATTAAATTTATCGCTATGGAGAGAGAGAGAGAGAGATTTAGACATTTTTGACAATAAAAGCTAGAGAAAAGGATCTTTATTCTAAAGATAATTTTAAAAAAATTCAACATTTTCTGTTGTGTCTTCATCAGGGTTCATACAAGCCAAACTTATATATGTAATAAATTTTAATAACATATTCTAATTTACAGCTAATTCTAACTTCATGAACTTTCTTCTACATGTGAAAGCAGCAAGAAGAAACCACACACTTGATGCTCTTTAGTATTTGGTATTTCATCAAAACTTAAGTGATATGAAATTTTCTATCAACAGAAAATTCTAAAACTGTATAGTTTGATTTTAACAGGCAGAAGAGAGATCAATTGAAACCTAAAACATACTACAAAAATAGGAAGAATGGTTTACATATGTTTTATAAACTTTATTTATAAACCCATTGGTAAAAAGTGACAGTATGTGTTGTCAAGTTTGTTTCCAATATTAGCTAAATTAATGCAATGATACTTAATAACTAATGGTAAAATATATGACGATTTAGGTTTTCTTTTTCAAAATAACTGCAATACTGGTAACCACAATTTATTTTTGATAAATACTGAAAGTATAATTTCAGAATATTATTTCTGTATCCATGTTATTACAAATTTAAAAAATAGAAAATGGTGTTTAAAGTTACATCCAATTTTAAAATAAATATAAATACTGCTTGTTTCTCTTACAATGACAATTATAACTAATCTTGTCAACAATAGTAAAACAATTGTTAATATTAAACATATTAATTGTCAAATTTCATTTAAAAACTAAAGGTGTCACCTCTTTCTCTACAAGATCCTCCTGGAATATTTGGGTTTCCTTCATAACCAGGAGCACATTTCTCACACTGGCGGCCTTCATACCCAATTGGACATGCATTACAAGTAATTTTTCCATCTGATTCCAAGAAACATGTTGGAGAGAACCTGATCAAAACAAGTAGTTTGAAGTTAAGGTAAGTTATGATGTACAGTTGTATTACAATTTCAAAACTTATTATACTGTGCATTTTCAGAATAGCTTTTGGAAATTACGAGCCTGATTAACGTGCTAATTTGGTTAGTAAAATATTTCAAATCAAGCAGCATGACAGAACAACTTCCAGTACTAAGAATCATTATGAAAATTCTGATTCAATACCAGATCTAAAGTACTAGGCAAAAATATTTTCAAA